AAAAAAACTAATATTTTGCACTTGAACCTGTTCTCTAGCATGATCTGCCCGGTAGACTTCTTTCTGTGTGCTTAGTACAATATTCACATCATTACTCTTTTTCAAGTTGGTTTTGATTTGTGTATTCTATGACTTCCTTTCTTGTTTGGTTATTTAACTGGACTAGTGGATGAGTCCTAAAACACTTATCTAAGAGAATGGTAACCTTACTCCATTAATCCAAAATTCCCCATATGGGGCTATACACGAGGCTTTTCACCCGTGCATTTTCAGGTTTAGAGAAAATTAATGACAAAGCATTAATGTTAACTCAACTAAGTAGCTAAGAGATTAACTGGAACTAGGTGCAGAATTGTAACTTTACTCATTTTTTAAAACTCTTCCCTTTTTTTCCTGCCATATGAAATAAACCCCAAGGATTGTGGGGGGAGGGAATTTCCCAAGTCAATAGGAGATCTAAAGTCATTACGTTCTTTAGTTCTCTTTAGCTACAACTTGAAGTGTTCCATTCCAGCTTCAATAGGGCAGTTGTCTAAGCTTACTCTTGCAAACTTCCGACATAACAATTTTTGAGTCATATCCCATCCTCACTTACAACCGTCACGCAATTTAACCTTCTTGATCTTTCAAATAATCAGCTTTTTGGTCCCATTCCTTTTCAAGGGTGTGCGTTTTCAATACTATCCCACCTAGACCTATCTCATAACTCACTTAATGGATCAATGCCACCTTGAGTTTTCAGTCTACCTTCGTTATAGGTCTTGGTTCCCAATTGCAACTTTCTTCAAGATCAAATAAATCAATTCCATTAGAGATCATTGACAATCGTGGATTTGGCACACAATAATTTGAGTGGTTTTGTAGAGTTTGATGTGTTCTCAAAGCTTCAAAGTCTTGAATCCATCATTCTTTCAAACAACAATCTGTCTTTGAGAATCAATGTTGATGCTGACTTCACATTTCCCAAACTAAAACATTTGATTTAATCTTCTTGTAACTTGAGTGAATTCCCCTAGTTTCTCAAGACATTCAAATGATCTTCAAGTTTCTCAAGACATATGGCAGCTAGATGTCGGAGTAAGGGGGAGAGAAGGGTGGTTCGGGAAAGGAGTTAAGAAGGTGGTTGGGGAGGGTAACGACACACTGTTTTGGTATGATAGATGGCTGGGGGAATACCCACTTAAGGATAAATTCAATATACTATTTAGGCTATCAATGAAGAAGGATGCAATAATATCTGATATGGGGGAGTGGAGAAATGGCGAATGGTGCTGGCATTGGAGCTGGAGAAGAAACCTTTTTGCTTGGGAAAATGCTCTTTTGAAGGAATTAAAAGTGATGTTGCAAGCGAGACAGTTGCAACAAGGACAAACCGATCACTGGGTCTGGCAACACGACTCGAAAAGGAAATATTCGGTGAAATCAGCATACAAGATCTTACAAGACAATCTCATTCCAGGAAAGATTTGCAATTTTAAGCTGATATGGAACAAATGGGTACCTCTAAAGGTCACAGCTTTTGTTTGGAAAGCGCTTCAAGACAGAATCCCAACCAAGGAAAATTTGCTAAAGAGAAGGATAAGAGGCGTGGAGGAAAACAGGTCCTGCACTTTTTGTGAACAGCATGTTGAAAACACAAATCATCTTCTTTTCACCTGCAAAGTGGCATGGCAGATTTGGTCTGAGTGTTATAGCTGGTGGGGGATTACCGTGGTGCAGTAGGATGATGGTTGGAAGCATCTACAACAACATGAAGGTCTACTGTTAAGTGGGAATTCAAGACAAGCATGGCAAGTCATTTGGTTTGCAACTATCTGAGCTCTTTGGACATGGCGGAATCAAAAGGTATTCATGGAAAAATCTAACACGCAAGATAAAATTATAGAGATGATTAAATTTAAATCTTTGTTGTGGTTGAAAGCTTGTTTTTGGTCGGACCTACAAAAGAACGTTTGGCTTCTTTCCCCTGATCAAGCTATTAGGATGGCTAGAAGGTGCTTGCAATAGGCCACTTACTTCACATTTTGGATTATTTCATATGTTTTAGCTTATCAGGGGAGACTAAACTAATAGCTCTGTGATATGTAGTTCTATGCATGTATTTATGGGTTGGAGTATCCCTTGTACTCCTTATTAATATTATTTTACCTTGGCTGATCAAAAAAAAAAAAAAATGATCTTCAAGTTCTTGACCTTTCTGTTAACAATTGAAGTGGGAAGATTCCAAACTATCTCCAAATGTTGATGACCAAAAGTCTTTTGGTGTTGAGTTCGCATTCCATTAACTTTGATGGAGATATACCATTTAGCTCTCCAGAGGGTTATGGATTGCCAACTCTCAACTTGTATGGAAATAAAATGGAAGGCTTGTTGCCAAGATCTTTGATGAATTGTAGCTTGCTAGAGGTTCTAAACTTTGGAGACAACAAGATAGCAAATCCAAAGAATGTCCATCTTTTCCCAAGTTACGAATCCTGGACCTCTCCGACAATGACTTTTTTGGTCCTTTGCCTGTTTGATACATAGAAAATTTCAAAGCAATAGTGGATCCTCATAGAGATGACAATTTTTCTCAATACATGATGACCCACAGCACTCATATTGGGCGCTTCTACCACTAAAGAGGTCATTTGGCTTCACAACTTATTACATAGTTTTGGTATTCGCCAATCTCGCTCCACATCTTTTTACTGTGATAATGAGGCAGCTAGCCACATTGCTGCCAATCCAACATGAAATGTTAACTCTCTTGTTCTTGATTGATTTACGCTGGTTAAGAGAAAACTGCTTACAAATTGAAGATGGGGAAGACAGAGTAAGAGCAGTCGACAGCTAAGTTGCAGGGGAAGAGAGAATATAGACGGTGATCACCTCAAACGACGGCGAAGCCAGGCTCAGCTCACTTTGTGGAGGAAGGAGACGAGCAAGACCGTTGATCTGGGTTTTATATATATCTTAAAGAAGCATTTAAACCCTCATTTTTCATCCCCTAACTTCTGCGCAATGCCATTGGTCTCCTTCACTTGTAAAATCTCCTTTTTAGGCTTTAAACTTTTATTATTTTCACAAGAGGACGTGTGATTGCTTATTTTATTTTCTATAGTAAATATTATTTGGAGAGGGGTGGAAATGTAAGAGGCTTGTATGTAAATATTTTGCTTACTTGAAAATTTTAAGAATAAATTTAAATTTATTTAGGTATTTCAAGTAAAATACTCCTTAAAACTAAATAATATTTGTGCCTTAGCAATACTATTATAATGAAATAAGTACATTTTTTAATTTTTCTAAATATTATATTATTTTTTAGAGTTTTTTGTTTTTCAAATCTAAGAATACTATTAAAGTGTGTTAGTGAAATGAAATTACTAAAATAACATTAATGAAATAACATAAGAAGAGTTTTGTTAAATATATTTTAGTAAATTTATATGTTAAATTGTACTATAATTTACTTTTATAATTCATTTATAAATAAAGATTACCGGACCAAAAATCTTATAAATAAAATATGTTATTTTACTCAAATAAAAAAGTTCCTCCATGTTCCTCACTTTCATACACTTTTATTTTTTTAAAATATTTGTAAGTAAGAAAAGTGTCTCAAATTAAATAATTTTATAAGTATTATAGAATTATAAAATATTATTATAAAATTATAGTATCATAGGATTGACATGTTATGTATCTTTTTTTGCTGCACTAGTAGATCTTTAGCACCTAATGTAGCACAAACTAAGCATTAGATAAAGAGAAAAGTCAAAGGAAAGACTGTGCATGATCCAAAATCTAGAGTAAAGTACATGCAAAGGATAAAACTTGGTTTATAAAACCCAGAATCTCATACGGAGCTCATGATCAAAATTTTGCAAGTGATAATTATTGGAGACATATTAGGTAATATTTCTTGAAAAATATGTTCAAATGAGAAAAATGAATTATAGGGAGATCATTTATGAAAATATCACTCGAGTTTCTAACTTAAGTATTCATCCCTAAGGTGTAAATGTACCTATCTTATAAAGGTATATGGTTGAGTTCTAAAACTCTTAATAAATATGTAGCCATTATAATTTATTTTTAATGGCTAGAGATGCTTGTGGTTATCTTGATCAATAGTACATGTGGTAATTTAATAGTTTAATGCTTAGTGTTGTTAAGAATTGATATGTGATTAATGCAATGTTTGTATATAGCTAATTTGTGATTATTATTTTTGAATGATAAAAATAGTGAATAAATATGTGCATGAAAAAATAGGTTTATAAAAAAATTGAGATCCTAACTGAAAAAAAAAACTAAAGAAGAGAGTTACCCATTTATGAAAATGAAAGCAATGCATTTGAATAACCTAGTGAAGATTTTGTGGGT